CTTTTTCTCTTCTCGAGGACAAATCACTTATGGTTAGTCATGGTTTTTATTTGATTTCTGTAATTTTGCAATCCCCGAGTAGGCTGCTTACGCACCGAGAGAATTTTTGTAGGATATTCGCCCAACGCCACGGTGAGAGAAAAGATTGGACCATGATCCGTTGCCGTGTTCGGTGCCTTTATGGTCTAGATCGGACAGGAGCTGGACGTACGAAAATATGTTATCTAAGCGATCACGACGACAACAGTAATAAAAAAGTTAAAAATAGTGGGCGGCAAGTGGTCGTGAGTACAGATAAGCAATAAACAGCTATATAAAGCAGGAGCTCAATTAATCGACATCACACCATGAGGATCGCTAACGTATATTTTATCGCTCTATTAGCTACAATTTTGGCTAAACCGCAATTCAGGGGCAACTCAGGAGCCAACGACGGTGCACAAAAAGTTAAGGTAACCAACTATTTCATTTTACTAGGGGTATTCTTGCCCCTAATACAATTTGTGAATGTTTAGTCCATCGTAAGCATCATCCACCGACGCCCACGTCCGGATCAGCAGTCCACTTCTGTCTAATCATCGCACGCCCGACCGGAGCTGCTCCCATCCCCCATGAGTTGCCAATCGTCACCGTGAATTCCTGAGTCGGCCTTAAAGGAATCTTCCACGGACCATGGACCAGTGGGCGGGACCGGAAGTTTTTGTGACGAAATGCATGGTAGGTACGGATCCACGTGTCGAACGCACGAACGTGAACAGGATTCACTTCAAACCTTCCCATGAACGTGGATCCGTACCTACCATGCATTTCGTCGCAAAACCACTTCCGGTCCCGCCCACTGGTCCATGGTCCGTGGAAGATTCCTTAATCGCAATTTCCAAGGCTGAGCCAAGTAGTTATCGCATGACCCTTTCAAAGGTTTGTATTGTATATACGTGTGTTATTGTGTACAAAATACTATTGTGCTGTGAAAACCATTCAATAAAGTTGTTCATCGACAAAATTGCTTTTTTGTGGTATCCCGAAATCGCCCGCAAATTATTTGATGGAATAATCACTATATACATACATATGCAAGCACAATTTACAAAGCTATGCTAAATGAGCTATTTAAGAGATCGTAAACTTTTATGAAATTTACGAAGTTTTGACAAACTTTTTTTATTAAATAAGGATAAAAGGATAAAGCATTTGCCGTTGATCAATCCCTTTTGGGATGCGGCACGCATTCTACTTCCATTTGTACATTCGTAGTGGCGTTTGAATGCGATGTGGCCTATACAATGACTTGCGGGGGCCAGCCGATGTACAAGTCAGTGTTTTTATCCTCCCAGACAAGTCTGGTACCAATTAACCGACCCCGGAGGGATGGAAGGCTTGGTTGGCCCGGGCGACTCACGACCCAGGATTTGATCCCCGGACCGCTCGCGTGGTAAGCGTGCCACTTGCCACTACACCACTTCCGCCCTTTATTTTTTTTATCCCCATAAGTCTGACAGACTACGCGCTGAAAAGCGAGCGCCTCATTTTATGAGGATGTGACCAAGTAGTCAGAATCCCAATACCCGCGCCCCCCGATAAAAAGAACAAACAAAAACAAACATACGGGGTGGCCAAAAAAGAGACCGCGTTACTTCAACGTGTGAAAATCACATTAATCAATTCTTCGCTGTCCTTAAACCGAATGTCTAAAAAAGAAAACTGAAGAAACACATTCCGATTCAATGATACTCCAAGCACTAACCATTTTTTTTTTTTTTTTTTTTTTATTTTTTTTTTTGTTCGCAGCCCGAAGACATCAGAAGAATTTGATATTGGGATCATTGAGCACGGTTCGAGGACCAAGCGTGGTCTCGACGATATGGTCAACATGTGACATTCTCTGAACGCCTGAGTCGTCCAGGGGTTAGTATAATGCCAGAACTGGCAGGGAGCTACTGTCTGCAGGAACCTATCCATCACTCGACCGATCGAAGAAATTAAGTAGTTGCTTCAGGCTAAAGGCAATTGCGGAAAGCTTTCTTTGGGCTCGACGGCGATCGCAGATGGCGTCTTGTCCCTGAACAAGACGAGGTTAGCGAACAGGGGCTTCAGTCCGCCGCTCGAGGGACTATGTGTGACGGAATATTTTCAAGCCAAGAGACTTCCATTGACCAACGGCATAGCTGAGCGCGAGTTAAAGGCTTGCGGAGGACAAAATGTCTGTTGTTTTCGGCCACCCTCTGTAATAACTTTGACTCTAAGTGAGCTGGTGACGCTAGGATAACGTCGCTTGCCCGGACGGGCACTACATATGTGTGGAGCTGGAGAGATGTTTCCGGGATGGCCAGTATGCCTGTAAACAATTCATCCTGCAACCCCACTGCGGTTATCGCAGTATTCGAATAGCTGCAGTAGTTTTTATCTGACGAGCTAACCGTGGCATCCTCACTAAAGATCGTTTACCTAAGGGATGAAATTAAGGACGCATGTAATCCTCGCCATAGTTCGGAGTTGATGTGTCGTGATTAGATCAGATAAGACCTCAATGTCTGCTAACAGTCATAGCGCTCCCACACATAACTCATATAGAACCAGTAGTTACATTATATCAAAATACCCGTTTCACAGTGGGAATTTACAACGAGATAACCTCTTTTACATCGCTCGATTCGGGCAACGAACCTTAACGACCTGAAAGTGCAAAGGCAAGAGAATCTTTGGAAACGCTGAAATTAAAGGCCTTAACCTCAAATAGGGTCGGTTGTGGTGTAATGGCGAGACAGGGCGTTCAATGAAAACAATACAGGAGAGCACGCTGATCCCTAAATACATTATTCCCGGTGGGTGGGAAGCGTTGCAAAGGGTCGATGGTTGCAGGCCCGTAAGGACCCGTAAGATTCAATCACGCAATTTTTTCGACGACCTCTTGTTACGCCAGGCAGATGATCCACAGTATGTTTCTCCACTTACGCCTACACTCCATTTCAGTTAGTGACGTAACCAGGTTGCTGATAACAGTCAAGGAAGTTAAGCGATGTGGGCGACAGCTGACCTCGTGTCTGAAGATAAGGCACAGAATTGGTACTATATAAGGCAAAGGCTCCATGAACTGACAACACACCATGAAGTCCGCTATTGTATTTTTCATCGCTCTTCTAGCCATAGCTCTGGCCAGGCCCCATTCCAGCGACAGTTCAGGATCCGACGAGCGTCCACACACGAGAAAGGTAGTCATTAGCTTTTATATGTCTTCACACTTATCGCTTGAGCCCATAGAACACTACATAAACTTTCAGCCTCATCACAAGCATCATCATGGCCATCATCATCGGCACACCCGCCCTCCTCCACCAACAGTGGCTCCCGTAACCACCGAAGAGAGCCCCACTTTTGTCCCTGTTACCACCGACGAAAACCCTACATTCGCTCCCATCACTACCGAGGAGAGTCCAACAGTCGTTCCTGTTACCACTGAGGAAAATTCCACATTTGTTCCTGTTACCACCGAAGGAAAATCCATCCCCTCGGATGCTCCTTTGGATCCCACCGAAATCGGCCCGATCGTCACAGACGGTGAAGTCACCGTTGAATTACCTGGGTCAACGCCAGCTATCCCTGAGCGAACCGTCGAAACTGCATCTACTACCTTGTAACGATTCTGTAGGCGTATAATTGTATCATATGTGTATAAATTTTATAAATAGCATTATCTCCTTGATAAAATGGTAACT